ATTTGCAGTGGTCTGATACTCCTTCCATTTCAATATGATTGCTTGCAGAGTGCTCCTTGGGATTTTTAAAGCTTGGGAAATCTTTTTGTATCCAAATCCAGCTTTAAACTTCTCCACAACAGTATCTCGGACCTGCCTGGTGTGTTCCTTGGTCTTCATGATGCTCTCTGCGCTGTGAACAGAATCCTGAGACTATCACAGAGCAGGTGCATTTATACGGAGACTTGATTACACACAGGTGGATTCTATTTATCATCATCAGTCATTTGGGACAACATTGGATCATTCATAGATCCTCACTGAACTTCTGGAGTGAGTTTGCTGCACTGAAAGTAAAGGGGCCCAATAATATTGCACGCCCCACTTTTCAGTTTTTTATTTGTTAAAAAAGTTTGATACATCCAATAAATTTCATTCCACTTCACGATTGTGTCCCACTTGTTGATTCTTCACAAAAAATTTAAATTTGATATATTTATGTTTGAAGCCTGAAATGTGGCAAAAGGTTGAAAAGTTCAAGGGGCCGAATACTTTTGCAAGGCACTGTACATTAACACTGTACATTTACATTAACTATTTGCAGCCCAAATACTCAGTGTTGTCCACCGTTCCTCAACACAGCTCCCAAGAAGTGTGACATGGGGCCTCTGAAAACAAACCAGTGTGAAATTTTCTGGTTTATATCAATGGCTGACTGACAGATTCTATTGACAGAGTGGGTTAAGTGCTGATAAATTATCAAACATCATTCACCTTGTCCTCTGATGCCACCTGAACATTGAGCCAGAGGAAGCTTTTGGTCTTGATTGGTTGTTACGCCATTTAATGAGGTTTCTATGCAATGACACAACAACTTAAGCCAGCAAACACCCTCCCACATGCTCCTCATCATCTCAAATCTAAGAGCATTACAACTGGACATTCACTTCAACAGGTTCTATGGTCACTCTCACTGCTGCTGGAGTCGGCTCTGACCTTCACTGCCTCCCTCCAGCTGTCAACTGGAACTGACCCATCACAGGGACAGCTCCATTCCCACGACTGAGGCTGACACATTTCTGCAGAAATGTAAGACTCCATGCAGTTGCAAAGAAAGGCCAACTGAATGACAGTAGTCTTTATTGAGATAACTGTGATAATGCTGCACGGTGACTCATCCAGGAAAAAAACTGGAAAGCTTGGGTCATTAAAAAGGATTAGTTCAGCAATTTATTTTTCCTTTGTTTCCACATTTAACAGAAACAGCTGAGGGCATTTAAATCAGGTTCTTAAAAAAAGATGTTACAGAAGAGTCCTCATAATATTTTCACATGACAAGATACAAAGTGATGCAGCACGGTGGCGCAACTGGTAGAGCTGCTGCCTCTCAACGAGCAGGTCCTTGGTTCAAACCTCGGCCCAGGGGCCTTTCTGGGTGGAGTTTGCATGTTCTCTCCGTGCATGCGTGGGTTTTCTCCATGTGCTCCGGTTTCCTCCCACAGACCAAAAACATGCATGTTAGGCTGATTGGTAACTCTAAATTGTCCCTAGGTGTGAGTGAGAGAGTGAATGGTTGTTTGTCTCGTTTGTCTCTATGTGTCCCTGTGATGGACTTGAGACCCATCCAGGGTGTACCCCGCCCCTCTCACAGTGATTGCTGGACATGGGCACCAGCGACCCCCGTGACCCTAAATGGAATAAGCGGGTAAAGATAATGGATGGATGGATGAAGATACAAAGTGCAAGTCAAGTCAACTTTATTTATAAAGCACATTTAAAGCAGCAGTGATTACCAAAGTGCTTAACAATAAATTTAAATGGGAGTAAATTCATGGAAAAAAAAGTACAAATAATGATAGTACTGAAAATATCCTGATGCATGCTCAATAATCCAGGTAGAAAAATCTGAAAAAGTTCAATCTGGTCCTCTGAACATTCAAAAAAACAAAAAACAAAACAAAGCAAAAACATGTAGATACGTTTCGTCTCTCATCCGAAAGACTTCCTCAGTCTGAGGTGCTGTTTTCAGCTCAGTCTCTTAAATAGCACCTTCTTCAGAGTGGATCAACCAGTTTGCTGCTGACAACCAAAACCAGCTGATCACATGCTCAAGAAGGACCATCAGCCTAACAATGGATCATTAGCACACTGATGGCTGTTTACTGTTCACAGAGGGCTGAGTGATACTAGCAATCACAGCATTGTAAGAGGGGGACAGTTGAACCCGGAGGCCTCCACCCCTGTTTAATGATGGACGATTTATTTTCACAAAGATGGCCTCCTTTACTCCTCTCTCAAACCATCGTTCCTCTCTGTCCAGGATGTGAACATCTTCATCCTTGAAAGAGTGACCGCTGGCCTGGAGATGAGTGTAGACCGCAGAGTCCTGGCCTGATGATGTTGATCTTCTGTGCTGGTCCATCCTTTTGGCCAGTGGCTGTTTAGTTTCCCTGATGTAAGACTGATCACAGCCCTCCTGATAGTACTGAAAATTAATTAAAATCATCAAAAGAAAAATATATAAACGCAGAACAGTAAAAAGACTAAATCGAGTCACAATGAGTAAAAAGCCAGGGAAGACAGGCGTGTTTAAGCATAGATTTAAAACAGGAAGAAAAGTGGCCTGTCTATGTTGGAGGGCAGTTTGTTCCAAAGTCTGGGGCCCACGACTGAAAAAGCCTGATCTACTCTGAGCTTCATTCTTGTTCTTGGAACAACCAAAAGCAGCTGATCAGATGATTTCAGGTTCAGAGAAGGAACATATGGTTGCAGTAGCTCAGAGAGATATGAGGGCGCAAGGCCATTTAAGCATTTAAAGGTTAGTAGGAGGATTTTAAAATCAATTCCGTATGAAGTGCAGACCTTGTCTTGAGTCAAAATGATGCATATTTTAATATTTTGTAAAAGTGGAACACCTGGATGATCATGCACACTGCTGCTCTGCTCTTTTAATGAAGTTTAGGCCTTCTCAAATGTGCGAACTGCTGTGACTCCATCAAAGGTCAATGTCTGGGGAAGAAAGACAAATATGTTGTTTAAATCTCCAACATTTTTCAGTCAGGTCATCTGGACAGTTTCTTTACTTGTGCTGAAACGTTTCGCCTTCGATCCGGAAGGCTTCATCAGTCAATGATGATGATGATTCAGCAATGGAGGAGGGGGCATACCAAAGAGACCATCTTATCACAAGCAGAACTGGTTTGTTCCACTTTGGAGTAAGCTGTTGGGGGAAGAATCAGTTTTGTTGTGCATTTCCTTGACTGATGAAGCCTTCCGGATCGAAGGCGAAGCATTTCAGCACAAAAAAAGAAACTGTCCAGATGACCTGACTGAAAAATGTTGGGTTGTATGCCTGGATTATTGAACATGGACTTTGTTGTTGTTTAAATCTGTTCACTTGAGTCATGTGATTCTGGTTTTTCTTTGACTGCAAAGGCAAAGTGAGTAAGATCATCTTGAACTTCATCATTCTTACCATCATCACCTTTCTACCCTTGATTTCTGTCAGTTCTCGTCTCTTTTCCATCCCACTTCTGCACTTGCACCATTTTTCCTCCTTCCATTGTGACATTGGTCTGCAGCCAGGAGGTAAACAAAATGAACAATTATCTTGATAAGACAGAGGAAGACGCTGTGTCTCTGGGACATAAACTGCTTGTATTGCACAACAGCAGAAGCATATATCTCTTGTTCAACTTTTCCTAAATCCCCAGCACGGTTTCTATTAGTTTATAATTACAAATTTTAATTTGGTTTAACATTCTAAAATACTCAAAATCTTTGAACACCAAAGAATTATGAGCATGTTTAAACCTGACCAGCTTACTTTGACATTTCTGTCATCAGGTACGGTCTGTTCAAACTCCTCTCCCAGTTTGGCACAGTGCTCTTGTACTTTAGTAAACTGTGTTGGTATTCACCACAACATTCTTGGATAATCACCATCATCACCTTGTTTGTGCCGGCCTTTTGTCTTAAGGCATCACTAGCACCTGTCAAAAGAAAAGGGAATGACTTAAAGAATGCTGAACATCCTTTTATTTAATAAAGATAATAACAATAATTTCCTCCCCAATTGTTTTCAAATACTCATCAGAGTTAGTGATGTCGACCAGCTTCCATGTGCCGTAGAAAGCCTCCATCATTGTTGTGGATGTTTTCAGTGCTGCTCAAGTTTGAACGCTCCTGTCCGTCTGAAGCAGAACTCTGCATCCCAAGCAGAAGTCTGTTGATCAAAACCAAACGGTGTCGGGGAGCGGGAACCTAACTGCAACGCGAGGAGCTGATTGGATGATCTAGAAGCTGTACAAGTTGTGATTGGTCAATAAAAATCCTGCATGTAACTTGGTGAAAACACGTCAGGAAGGTGGTCACTCCATGTCCTATTTAATTATTTTTTTTATTTAACATTTATTTATACAGGCAGTCACAAGGACTCATTTTCAAGAGAGACCTGTTTTCTTTTTTAGACAGACAACATCAGATGGTGGGGGTTAAGAGCCTTGCTCAATGGCCCAGAGTGGGGCAAATGTGGGTGGAGACAGGTGTGGGCATAAATACTAGAAGCCTCGTTGAGCGGACTGGCCCGCTTGGCTGCAGCGGTACATCAGTGTGGAACACCAAAAT